AATAGGCGTTTTTGCGCCAAAATTGGTGTTTTTATGAGATTTATCTAGTTTCTTGACGTAATCTTTTGAGTAAAACATATCGAATTTGGTATTTTTGTAAAGATTTTTAAATGTTCTACAACTTTTTTCATTGGTGGTTTTTGATAAATTGTATCAATAAAACGTTACAAACAAAAACAACTCAAAAATATTTAAAAATACAGGTTTTTGCAAAATTACGAAGAATGTACTAAACATACAACAAATGTGTAAATGTAAAACAGGTAGCATTTAAAATTATCTTTCAAACAAAAAAACATTCATTCCGATCCGACAAATAGTTTGCGAAATATACGATTTAAAAAAATCAATGGCCGCCATTTTGATGACGTCATAGCTCGAAAACGTACCAGGTGCGAACTTGACACCCGAGTGGAAAACACTTCCTAAGACACCTATATTGAAATGCAAAAGCAAAATTCTCTATACACGACATGCACACAGAATTCTAGTCATGTCCAGGACTAAATCTTTCCCGGAACGTACACCACTTTCAGTGTTCGTTTACGATTTATTCAATCTCTTTGCTTTATCTTTAGGTCTAATCACATATTGTTTGGTATCATTGGAAAGGGTATAGAATCATCTGCAACTTTTGCAATGGGTGGTATTTGATTTTATCAGCGGTTAAGAAGTTATAAGCAAAACAATAAATATAATAATAATAAAAAACACGTTTTTTAATATAGTGAGATAAATATTAAGTTTACAACAAAAGTGTAAATACAAGAAAGATAGGGTGTAAAAATATATTTCAAACAAAAAATAAATCATCCTGATCCATTAAACGGTTCGCGAAATATACGCATTCAAAAATTGCTGAGCCGCCATCTTGATGACGTCATAGCTCGAAAACGTACCAGGTGCGAACTTGACACCCGAGTGGAAAACACTTCCTAAGACACCTATATTGAAATGCAAAAGTAAAATTCACTATACACGACATGCACACAGAACCCTAGTCAGGTCCTGGACTAATTTAAGCTTCACGATCTAGTAATCAAACTAAGTTTATTGCCACGCAATGTAGAAGGATATAAGTACTGTAGAACTGTTTTATATCCATACAAATAAATACAGTATTCTTATTCATTCTAGTTACCTTAGTAAATAATTTGTAAACATAATTTTAAAACGAATTATAGTGCTACAAATATTAATATATAATATATTAATGTATTCGATCGTAAGCTTTCCATCTTATTATGTACAGATTGGTGTTATTATTTAATCAGCACGTTTGATACACAAATCGAGTACATTTTACCGTGACGATTTCCTCTAATATAACCCGTCTCCCTAATCGTAGAAGTGCCAGAATTGCATTTATCCTTTGAATGCGAATCCATTATCAGAACCGAGATACATTAATTTGTTGGACCGCAGCGACAGAATGATATAACGCCGTCCTTTACATTGAGAGACGCATTGTTAACTCCCCCTTGAACTACCCCCTCCAGGGTGCTTTATTGGTACTAAACATCCCTATCTCCACACGTGGACGGCCATGAGAGATCGTGGTTGCACAATATGACAGAAATGCCACATAAATTCATTTGGAATTGGGATTCATCCGTAGACTTTACCCAACCCCCCCCCCTGATAAGCTGAATCAAAATTGAAATCGACCATGATGGGGGTGATATTGAACGACGCTTTGGGTAAATGATCAAAGGGTTGGGGTTAAAATAATTATTTACTATAGGTCGTCCAGTGGTCGAAAACTCGACAAAAATATGTAATGTATAGAGACTTCTCTATTTTCAACCCTGTAAATAAAACATGTGATTGGAATTTCTTCCATTTATTTAGATTTTCTGTTTATTTTTCGTTGTTCATAGCAACCCTTAAGGGAAATGTTAATTTTTAAATTTGAAATTCATTTGTAGTGCTTATTTTTGAAACTATTTTAATTTGTAAAGGGATTCTGTACATCTACAGGAAAATATATTTCTAACGAAATGCATAGATTTTCCCTGCGATGTACACGAGCTGAGAAAAAACAGTTTTAAAGAAACATGCTTGCATACTAATTATAGATAGTGTGTTTTAAGTTGTGCATAAATGCCTGTAGTTTTTCATGTCTAGGGAGTAAGCTACAGCTTTCCTCATATACGAGATATAGTTTCGAAATATGTATGTCGAACCATCGGGCTTATACGTTGTGAGTGGATAACCGTCGATTTTCAGGATTTGAGCTTCAACCTTCAAAACCAAAGTCCCACATATAACCTTATTCATTAACTGTCTAGAAAGTGGATAGTGGTTGTGAGTACGTGGTTATTGCCTTTAACTCAAAAATGCTGTTAAATCGATACCAATCAGAAACAATTGTGGACTCAGAGTAATTTTGTAATTGGGATATCAAAGACGATATCTTTTACTATAGCCAATGATGATATCTATGGTCAAAAAAGTAACGATGAGTTAGGATCAATATTTTGCAAAACTTGTTCAAAAATGCTAATGTTGTAGAAAAACGAAAAAAAACTACCATTCGATAAGCTACATCTAATAAACAGTGGCTATTATCACAAAATAAAATGTAATTAGTTTTCAAACAAATCCTTAGAATATACTTGTAAATAATGTTTGAGTTCCAACAAAACCGTAATCCTCTGGCTGTTACAAGTCTGACTTTAGACATCGTTCGTGGTAGACTGTTGACTGTAGTACATGTAACTACTGTGAGATAAGCTCCCTTCATAAAAGACAACGGTAGAATAGCGTGCCGAGTTCAGATGGGATTGCTTTGGAGAAACAAATAAATCCCATCGTAAAGACTCCGGTGCAACGAATTGTTTCCAGGAACAAACTTTACTTCCAGGATATCGTAAGTAAACATGTTATAGCTTGTTGGAACAAATTTAAGGTGATTCCAGATTCTGGTAGGTACAAAATTACTTTTGATCAATTCGTCACATTTGTCCTGAAGTTTAAGGTTATGAAGGAAGACATCAGTAAACAACCGTGAAAAACGTTTAAATCAGAATAATTTAGGGATAAAAATATTTAAAAGTATAATGAAATGAATTAAATGAATTTGAATTACTTAACCGGAGTCATATTTCAACGTATTCATATCCATTACGTCATCAGCTTGCATTTCACAACAAAGTAAATGTAAATCTCCCGCGGCAGTAGTAGCATTTCACAATGCGGTCTCCTAAATATAAACTCAAGACACTGCACTTCTCATACTTTTTATACAAGAAATCATTTGTTTATTTCTATGCCATCTTTAAAATGAGGTAATCCATGTTTTTAACTACACAAAAACCGTAGGACGAAATTAGTCGATATTGAGTAAAAATATTATTTACGTGTCCAGTATTACTAGATTATATGCATATTCTAGTTTCAATATCCTCAATCTGCATAGGCTCTCCCTCAGGGATTTTGAAGTTATCATATTAAGCTCATATTAACAATGGCAATGTATTTTGCTGATTATATACATGTTATCGGTCTACATTTGGATTTAAAAATTATAAATAGGCCCTAGAGCAAAGATAATTACACACTTGACAAACAAAATGGAAGCTAAACGAATGTCAAAATGCCCTTTACTTTTAACCTTTTTAATACGACAAAATTAGAGCTCCGTAACATCAAATTGTTAATTAAACCAAGTACCAAGATAGTGACTAATTTATTCAACCACATCAACAGCTGAAAGAGTTTAGGATGGAAAACCTACATTGTGACATTGCGTCTAGTGGAAGCTGTGTAGTATCTTGTAGTATGTAGAGATGAGATAACGGCAATTTATCACCGCCAACTAACCGTGAAGCTAACAGTAGTGAACGAGTGAAAAATATTATTTGAAGACCATAGTAGCACAGAAAACGTACTACTAGTACGTTTTCTGTGATAGTAGTGAGGAAAACAGAGAAAATGGTTGTTTTTGTGCTGTCAATTGCATTTGTATGGTATTACGACTTTAGTGTTTCCGTCAAGAAAATAGCATTTAGAACAAATGTTTGCATTCCTGGGTGAATTCATTGTAAATACATATTTGAAAGATGGTCGTAATAAACATAAACAAAACTCAAACTTGTTTTTACCATCTAATTTCAGTTTCAAAAAACAACTAGTGTAAGAATGATAGTTTATTCTACACACAATTCAAAAAGGCGGTAACTTTCAACTTTGTTTAAATAACAAAAGCTTAAATAAAATGAGGCACAGACCAGTTCAGAGGAAATATGTATGATTGTTTCATAAATATATTTCTACAAAATAATATCAGTAAAATAACTAAATAAAATAGGGTACAATGTAATGCTTGTATTCGTTAAATTACGTTAGTGTTACACGAAGGTAGGAGAAAAAAGAACCTTCAAAGCTACCAGGTGCAAGTTAAAGATTTGAAGCTTGTAGCATAGTTATGAAAAGGATTGTGTCACAAATTACGAGAATATATTCTTTCTTGGGCTTTTAATTATATCGTTTAAACCCTGAGGTATACACGCAAGACCGTGGGTTTTGTATTCATATCACTACAGTCTCCTTTTAGAGTTATTTAAAAGGGGGTTCCCTTAGCAAGAGTATTTTCGTTTTAAACATTTCTTAGGTCGTATCAAAAGCAGTAAAGCCTCAGTCATTTAAAACTAAAGTGTTTAGAAAGGTAAATCTATCTACCACGTATGTGGCTCTTGTATAACCCAGTTAAGTAAGAAGATCCTGACCCAAGTGGGACTTCCCACTTGAAAGTCCCAATCCCAAACCTACATAGGATTAGGAAGATAACCAAAAGGTTTTACAGTGAGATTAACAGTTCGATTTCGGATTTGAATTAAAAGTACCTATACATATTCTTAGGCATGTTATAATTTTAATTCCAGTTTAAAAAGGTTGAGTATAATAAAGGTATAGTACTTATCTTAATAAAATCGAAATTAATCTAAGAAAACTACGCTTTTTTACTATATTTAAAAACAATAAAGTGTCGTACTTACAAATCAACGAAAACAATGTGTATTTTCTTTGCATCCACAATCAAACCTGAAAAGGAAAAGGAAATTAGTGTGATATTTCAAATTATACATTAGATTAGGAGTAAATTATTAGAATTTTGTACTAATCTTTCTATCTTTAATCTTTATCATATTAATATAATATTATCACATATTCACAGGCTTTGCCTATGTGGACCATCCATTTGATGAACATTGTAATTTCTGTGTAACTATATCTTCGTGGAATAAATTATCATTTTTATATTTTTTATGCCAGTCACAGGTAGATGGACTTAGTTTTCTCTCATTAGAAGCGATTATACCTACTCTCGATACTATGAATTTTTAATAATCATAATTATTCATAAACAACTTTACGTCAGCTATATAATCCCATTTACAAGTGAAATCGTAGCACAATTCCAATATAAAAAGTTATAGAAATTTAAAAAATATATAAAATAATGATTTACTTAATAAATATATGCAAAACAAAATTCCTCTGCATTTTAACAAGAACATAACCAAACTACCTTGAAGTTAATTAGTAGAACACGCTTTGAAGTAAGGTTATGTTAAAATTTAAAGTAGGAACAAATGGATTGAGTTTTTTAATATCCTGAGTGAGATGACAGTGATAAACAAGCTTGTGACATGCTACACGAGCTCTGGACAGCTGTTGCTGCGATGACGTCATTGATACCACTGCCTCCTGTAGTGATCGGAAACTACGAACGTCAAAATGTTTAACTTGCAGACATTGTTGTCACCAAGACTACCTAGATACTGTGTTAGACCATTGTTTATTTTATTCTATGATGACAAATTATCAATAATGGTTCAACATAATCAAAGTGGCACAGATATTAGTCGTTAAACAGAGCCTAAAATATGCTTGCGTAAACAAAAATTGAATAAATTAATTTTAATGTGAGCATGTATAGAATATAAATGAAAAATTATAAAATATGGTGGTGGTGGTAGAGGGAATGTTGCTGGAAGTCAACAGTCCCGGAAGATCAAATAATTTATACCTGTGCCGCTAGGTCAAAAACTACAATGTTTGCAGTGTCTGTAGATCAAAAGTCCCAGTAAGTCAAATAATACAGTCCGAGCTAAAAACGTGGTCTATGTTAAAGCAATTGACTTATTGGGAATTTGACCTAATGCAACAGCAGTTTTAATATAACGAAATACGGTAAAATACAAGTTCAGTTTCGCTGAGTCAACAGTGCCGGAAGATCAAAAGCAATAAAAGTGAACGTCGATTCATTGTAAAGTAGACCTCCTGCAACGCTTACTACACCAACAAAACTCGCTTTTAGTTACTTCGTGTTTTGTCATAATTAGAATAGAGCTAAAATTATCATATTTGGTACATAGCTTATCTATTAATGCTTCTTGCCAACTGTTTGGTCAACACTGTAAATAGGTATAGCCTTTCGTCAAAATTTGTGGCATAAAATACCCGCAAGGACGATCTGAAAATTTCTGGTTATTATATACGTTTGTAAAAGGAGATCCATTGAATTGTAGAACTATTTTATGAGTTATAATGTAGTCTACATATAAACTGTGTAAATGTATTACGCCTCGGAAGGGTTGAAACCTGTCCAAACTATCATATATACTATTAAAACGTAAATGGGGTTTATTCACGATTCTGAATCAACCAGACGATAGATTTTCATTAGTTTTGTGTTGAAAGAAAGACAATTTTGAGAACTAGGGAATTTCAAAGCCATAATTTAAAATTATAGTTCGGCCGCTTAGAAAGCGACCTCCTCCAGCATTGGTTTAGCATTAGCGCGCAGGTCGTTTTCTAAGCGGCCGAACTATAGTGTCCCAGTTTTTTATAAATTAAGTTTTAGTTTTTAAAACGTCTAGCAGCCGATGCTAACCTTCTCCAATAAGTCAATGCTTCTAGCTAGCTTATAGTACAATATAATTTGCTTAACATAACAGCTGTGACATTCAGCATTTATGACACAAATTCAGCATTTGGAAGAAAATTCAAATACATACTTATGGTTGGCTTATTTATACTAAAGTCGTGTAATGCTGACCATTGATACATTTGTTTTATCTATGATTTAATTCTTCGGTACGAGGATGGCAGATTAATTAAATATGCATAGTAAAATACAGTAGTAGGATGTTAAAATTATTTTTTAAAGTATTCTTTGTAATCATCGATTTGTTTTAGTCCAATATAATTTGTTTTAACTAACAGCTGGTTGAATGTGCTATGTATACTTATAAAAAGCAAAAAGCCCTCACTGACACACTCACTCTCACTCACTCATCATCACTAATTCTCCCACTTCCCATTTACCTAGGAGGCTGAAATTCGATACACCGATTCTTTGGGCATTAAATAGGAAAACTAAGTAATTTTTATTATGATAGGGCATTCGAGCTTCGCCCCAGTGGCTCTGGAGTTTCCCATGTTAACCTTATGATTTTTCATATTTAAAAGGAACTAGTGGAACCCCGTCGAAATCGACGGTTAATCTTGAGGTTTTATGTAAATTCAGCTAACTGCGTTGGATAGAGTGAAGTCATTAAAATCTTAGTTATATGAAGGGAGGATAAGCAATAATAAATATGACGATTGTGTTCCCTAAAAAACGTGATTGATGAATTCGTTTAACACAATATTTCCTACCTTTCTTTTTATCGGCTTTAGGTTGCCCAAAAGGTTTTTTAGGAGTCTTATAATTGTTTGTTCATTACTTCGATATCAGCAATTTTAAATCCTTCTCTTGCCACATCGACCCATATATTTAATCATCCTGTTTTTACTTGATAATTCATTAACTTATGGGGTAGTTTTGCCTTGGCCATAAGGATCACATAAAGCTGTGCATGTATTTCGTGGATTGGAATGAACCATAATTGTAGGAAATTTTATCACAAATCTTGAACATTTGCGGAACCAAATCCATAACCTAGTCCAGCATTGGTAACAAATTATGCAAATGCGATGAGATGTGATGACACTGTTGTGTTTCCGAATGTTGTGTATGTAGTGAGGTTTAGATGCGTTGTTCAACCTAGCTACATGTGTACATCAAAGTAAAAACTGTGTACACATTTTTTTTAAATACCTGAATTGACATTAGTTCACCTACTTTACCAAAACCATAGACTCCGTAGTTAGTCTATTCCAAAACTTGAACACAGCTCTCATCCTCAACGTACTCATCTATGACACAATTTTCAACCCGATTATCAAAAACTGTTATACCAATAAATGAATCTCATGTGTTTTTTGCTGAATTTAAAAATAAATGGTGATTGAAAGTGGGAAAAAAGGCAAGTACCAACCTTACAATATGTATTCGCTAACCCGATAAGGAATGGTTGTATCTTCCTTTGAAATTGATAAGTCACACTTATTTCATAATTTAAAATTTTCTAAGAGCAATAAAGCATAGATTTTTGAACAAAACATTTCAAACGTATCATAAATTCATCATTTTGTTAAAACTATAAAAAACTTGCCATGCAGTGGAGAATCCATTTAAAATCATAAATAATAATGTAAACATTTAATTTTGACAGTTTCAGTAGACATTTGAATACAATTTTAATATTAACAGCTGGTTCATTAAAAGTAGTGTAAAATTATCCATATGGTCGAAATGTAAACAAAATTGCAGAGTGAACTTTAAAGGCCTCTGGGGCAGAGCCCCAAGGAAATTTACATCGTTTCTCTTTTGAGGGCTCACCTACAGACCAACACCTTTCTTTAGACACCCCTACCAAGTTTCTACGCCCAGCCGTTCTCTCAAATTAGCTGTGACAAAAACCCCGTTTTCCTCCATAAGAATAACATGGGATGGGAATTTAAAGGCCACTGGGGCAGAGCCCTGAGGGAATTCTCCATGTTTCTCTTTTGATGGCTCATCTACAGATTGTTTACAGATTGTTGTGTTGTTGCTCATGTACAGGACCTTTCTTTAGACACCTCTACCGAGTTTCTACGCCCAGCCGTTCTCTCAAAATAGCTGTCACAAAGAAAAACAGTTTCAAATTAATATATAGATTAATGAATCTTAACAGCTGTGTCAATTAAACAATTTATGACAACAGCTAATTTGCAACCAAAAGCTGAGTGAGCGTTTCGAACGAACTTCAACCTGGAGGCGAGTTAACCCCAAGGCAAGTGAGCTCAGCGAACGAGCTCCAACCTAAAGGTGAGTGAGCGTAGCGAACGAACTTCAACCAGGACGTGATTGAGCCATGCGAACGAGCTCATCTTGAAAATTAATTAGTTAAACGGGGCAAAGCCAGCGGGTACAGTTAGTTATTCTATAGAATTATTAGGTTTTTAGCGAATTTCGCATATAGGGAATAAGCTATTACCGTAGTACTCATGGCAACACCTGGACCCGGGACCGATGTAATTTTTCGTTTTGAGTCCCTAGAGGCCAAAAACACCATCCGTTCAAATTCATATATACAGGGTGATCAACTCAAGGAGGCCACCATTGGGAAATCGGAAACGGTAAGAATTAGAGAAAACTAAATAGGGGACATTCCTTTATTTTTTGTGGCAGTTAAAAATATGATTTTAGTTTTTTATCATGTTTTCAGATAGAATATGCAGTTTAAAAACTTTTTTAGCCTTGACATTTTTTCGATAAACCCACTCGTTTAGGAGTACAGCCAATGGAAAAATGACTTGCGGTGTACATTTTACATCATGTAGCTCCTAAACGAGTAAGTTTAGAGCAGAATTGCAAAAAGTAAATTAGTCTTAGAATTGCATCTACATTCCTTAAAGACTATAAATAATAAAACGTTTTCCACTTTTCAAGTTTGCCGCCATTATTTTAATAATATCATTCATATTTTTAATGAATTTTATGGTCTTTTTGGAATGTGGATGCAATTGTTAGACTTTTTTACTCTTCGCATTTTTGCTATAAACTTACTTGTTTATGAGCTACATGATGTAAAATGTATACCGGAAGTCATTTTTCCATAGGCTGTAACTCCTAAACGAGTGGGTTTATCGAAAAAATGTCAAGGGTAAAA